TATATATATATATATATATATATGCATATATTGTATGCCAGAAGGATCCTTGTGTTTCCTGTTTGTTTCTTTTAAAAGTTTTTCTACCATGTTTGTTTGTATGAATCTGTTTAAATGGTTTTGTTTCACAACTAACTTACCAAGTTAAAAAAAAAAAAAGACTAAAGAAATAACTAACCCCACATTGGCCACAAAAGTTTTGAACATGTGTGAATTCACTCTTTTTTGGACCTACTAGTCTTTCTTTGATGGTGTCAGAGTCCTCCGTTTGGCCTTGCTTGGCATGAAGCTGCAGCTGAAGAGCATGAAGCTGTAGGAGCTGGTCGTGGACCTCCGCCTCTACCACTGCCCGCTCCGCCTTAACCTCGGTCAGCTCCGAGCGCAGGTCCACTAGCTGAGCCTAAAAAGAAGAAAAAGTGGATAGGTAAGGGCAAAGTGTGGAAGGCCTGTTGTTGAAGAATGAGTTAGACACACTCGGGCGTAACTCGCAGTAATGACTTTGCACCCAAAGCGTAACTCGCAGTAATGACTTTGCACCTAAATTACCGTATTTTCCGGGAGAATAAGTCGCTCCGGAGTATAAGTCGCACCATTGCCCTCTAGTGGCCGTCAGTGTGAAAATAATGAACATTTTAACTTAACAAATGTGAATTTTCAGTTCGGTAGTGGAGTAGCAGATAATGCTACACAAGCCTAGAGTGCCCTCTAGCGGCTGTCAGTGTTAAAATAACAAACATGTAATATTACATATTTTAATATGTATACAAGTCGCAAACCCAGCCAAAGGATGATAAGTGTGATTTATACTCCGGAAAATACGCCAGTTAATACGCGATCCAACCCCCCATCTGGAGGTGGATTAGTTAAGGTTCGTTTTGTACCATTTCCGACAATGGTTTTACCCTTGCCCTTTTTATTTTACTAATCGTATTGAGTAGAGTTAATCTGCATATTGACCAGAACTATAATAGCTAAATTTCCACGACATGAGAAGTCAAAAGTCCTCGCAGAGCAATATTCAGTTGGAGTAATATACAAATACGTATAATCAGTAGACTTAAGATAACTTTTAATTGACACCACATGTTATATTCCCTTACGGAATTTTGTCATGTTATGAAATATTTTCTTGTTGTTTTTTTTTTTCTGAGGAAATGTCTCAATCAAAACCATCAAATGGTACTGGAAAGTTTAGTTTTTGTTTTTAACAGTACTGTAAAAAAATGTCTTAAAAATATTTACTTAATGGAAATGTCTTGAATGACCAATATTTCTAATTTCAAAACTCCTTTAGAAAGGTTTTCAGGTTGAATGTTTTAAGTTTAGCAGAACGAACGTAAACAAAACAAACAAACTGCTGTCTCTGTAGTGTCCTTAAAATGCTGTAGTGATATTGCAATTTGGGGCGTAACCGTTTTCTCCAATCGTGCAGCCGTGGAACAGGAAGAGAGGGAAAATAGGGACAGACCTATAACTATAACCTGCAGGACAAGTCGAATATAGAAGGATGGCTGGTTTCAGGTTCTACTGCCTTGCCTTTCCTGTATGATGAGCTGTCCCTATTTTCCCTCTCTTCCTGTTATAGGCTATAACTATAACCTGCAGGACAAGTCGAATATAGAAGGATGGCTGGTTTCAGGTTCTACTGCCTTGCCTTTCCTGTATGATGAGCATCAATTACTCGAGACAAAAAAAAAAAAATCGACTGACCAACTTTCCTTTCTGGCAAACCAAACAAAGCGTTGGCTTCAATTATCCGTAATTATTGCAATCTGTGTATTTGAACTTCTTAAGATCCAGTTACAGCTAAACCGCTACAAACAAACACTGCCTTAGCCTACGGTACATATTCTCTATTTCTAATAACTATGACATCCTGCTCAGCCGAGCAAAACTATCAACAGAATGCCAGTAGCGGTGCGATAGGCCTCTACCGCTCCGTCATGGTTACTGTAAGTCCTCATTCATTCCTACGGATGTTGTTCCTGAACATTTTCGTACCCGATACCCGTTTAAAATATCTATAAATGATAGGTACTCGATCGAATAACCGATCAGATCGAACTTAAAACTTAAAAATAAGCTTCCGTTGCGTGAAGAAAACCATTATCTTTTGATGGGTGGCATAAGAGGATGCCCTTTTATAAAGGGAGGGATGGAAGATAACTAAGAAGAGTCGGAGATTAGACTGTAACTTTACTAGGCGTTTTGGTTCATTTGCGGTGTTGAGAATGATGACAAATGACAACCCACTGACCTCCAGTTTGTGGTTTAGTTGGAAGACCGTTTGAGATTTGTGACAGAGCTGTGCAAAGCAGGAGCTGAGGGTGGTCATCTTCTGTCGGCCCTCGTACGTTATATCGACTTGGTCCGGGTCTATTTCTCCGAGCAGCAGGTCGACGTCCACGAAAGCCTTGTCGAACTCTTTCTCGAGCACTTCCAACCACCGAAACATGGACAACCCCGGGCCAAGGCCCGCCGGGGAGCAACCACTCGAAGCGGACATAGCTAACGCGGAACAGACTGCGGTTCAACCGTTTGGGGTCAGCTTTCAAGCTAAATATAACGGCGATAACGTTTAGCAATTTCTTTTTTTACCCCGCTGCGTGTAATTCAACTGATTCGTGGTAATTAGACGAACTATCTAGGTGTCCACATCGACGTATCCAAAAGCAGTAGGTTCGTTTTCAACTCGATGTAATAACATAGCCTAACTAGGAAGTGCCTGCTTCACAGTGACGTAGATACCACATATGCCTGTGTGCAGAGGAGAGCAATCGATGGCCGAGTCTCCCGTAGCCGTTCTACAAGTTGGGCTCTAAAAAATGTTATTAAATGCTTTTAATTTTATTATTATACTTATTTTTGGTCGCTTGTTTTAAATAACGCATTTAAGATGATAATGGTAATTTACAGGTTTATTTTATGGGAGTGAGACCGCAGTCTTCCACTAGACCGGAGAACACAATAAATGATCGATGCGTTCCTATCGACTTTAATGCCGTTTAGTCATTGATAATAATGTGTTTGTGGATCACTTCAGCCATTATTAAGCACAATTCCAAATGTATTTATTATCGTCAATAATAAAAACACATATAAGGCCTATGAGCTTAAACTTGCGGTATTTAAAATGAAATATAATACTCTACGCTCTACTTTGTAACGAGTAAAATATAAAAAATAAAAATAAATACATTTTAAGTCGTGTTTATGATGAATTGTAAATACATGACAGACCTACATAAAAGGAATTTTAAAAAGAGTTGTTATTTTTCTCCCCGTTTTTTAAACCTGTAGGAGGGTTAGTAGAGTTGTTAGTATTTGAATTTAATTTTTAAAATGCATTAGTTAAAAAAAGTTGTTAGTATTTGAATTTAATTTTTAATTTTTAAAATGTATTAGTTAAAAAGATATTCATATGTATAGACTGGCTGTTGTCATCACGTGACTTTCCCTATTCATTTGTACAGGTTTATCTTTTATGTTCCTGTTTGAGTGTTTGTAATTTTTTTTTTGCACATTTTGTACATCTGCAGCCATTTTTAAATATAGAAAATAAACCAATGACTGAAGTGCAGTCAAGTTGATATTTTTTATTTGAAGTAATTCACTATATTATCCATATTACACTCTGAATATATGAAAGTGCAAATTAATAACTTACCAGTTTTTTTTTTTAATTTTAGGTAAAAACAAAAGCAAGAATGACTTTAGTGTGACATAAACCAACTACAGGTATTGCAAATTTTAGTATTTCATAATATTTAAGCACCTTGCGTTGATGTGGTTATAATGGGGGATGCACAAGGAAATTTCCTTATGCATCAGGGCCTCATGAAGGTAAATGTGTACTTAGCGCCACCTACAGGCCAGGGACAAGAGCAACATTCTAAAAATAACAATTAAAAAAAGGTTAAATTTACAGTGATTCATCTCCTATTGCGGTAGACCCACCGCAAGATACGGAAAGAAATTGCTTAGTCGAGGCGAGATGGTTATTGTTGATGTTATTGCCGTATATATTTACCCTTTTACGAACCTCCCCCACACTGTTATCAACCCTCCTTGGACTGTATTACCCTTTCCATTTAAGCACCTTGCGTTGATGTGGTTATAATGGGAGCATGCTCAATTAGCCAATAGTACAGCAAGTACACATTGTATTAGCCAATAGTATGCTCTGTACCGTTCGCAAATGCACTTATCTCAATTCCAAAAGGAGAATCCACATTTTTAGAGCCCAAAAAGATCAAACACACAAAAAAATTCTGCGATGCATTCAGGGGGCAAAAGGAGAACTGTGATATAGAGAGGAAACACTGTAGTTACAAATGGAGAGCAGCTATGAACACCTAGAACACCTTTAGGATTCTTGATGTATTTTATTTATTTCAAATATGCCTACCTCCATGCAACAAAATAGACAAAGCTCTATTTAAAAGGTCAATAATAATAATGATAAAAAAAGATTAAGATGAAGCCCATCCTCAGATTATTCCATATCCTTCACTGGGTTTTACACATGTCGTCGTACTTTGGAGACGAACAGGAACGCTCTCTTGTGGGTGCCTCCAGGTCTATGCAACAGAGAAAAAAATAAATAAATTTCATTCTCAAACTTGCTAGATGCAAAACATCAGGAGATGAATTTGAATGGTAAATTTACCTGGAATAGTGCCAAGGCCAGAGTTGTCGAAGAACTGTTTGGGGTAGGTCGTGGACAGTAGGTCGTAGCTATTATCCATGTCAAAGAATTTGCTCTTGGGAAAATCTAAGAGATATGTATTTTTGGTTTCCAGCACCCTACTTGGGGACTCCAGGACCTTTCTGGGAGAGTCTAGAATCGTTTTGGGGGTAACCAAAAGGTTCTTGGATTTACAAGGTCTGCTGGAAGAGTCCGAGGTCACTGGTGGCCCCCTCTTTGTGGGTGTGCTGGGTGACAAAGGCTTCCCCTTCAGTTTGATGGCCCTGTTTTTCCACTTGCTGATTTCTGCCTGCAGAGTACCAACCAAGCTGAGGGGAGAAAGGGGTTAAAGGTCAAGTCGGAATAATATATTGTATATATATTTGTTACGTTTGGTAAATCTTCACACTGGTTCTTACCTTTCCAGTTCAGTTATTTTCCCCTGAAGACGCTTGACTTCTTCCTCCAGTTTAGCCTTGTCCAGGAGAACACTGCTCTTGATGGCCAAACCTTTGGGGTTGGTCAGTTTATTGTAAACAGCCTCACCCTGTGGGACTAAAACCAGGAAATTGACTAAAACCACAAATTCACTCCTGTGAGACTAATTTTTCCCAAATACAGTATTTTCCGGAATATAAGTCGCACCTTTTTCCCCCCGCCATCCTTTGACTGGGTTTGCAATTTATACTCAGGTGTGATTTATATATTGTTGTTATTTTTACCCTGACAGCCACTAGAGGGCACTCTAGGCTTGTGTAGCATTATCTGCTGCTCCTGTACCACTGAAAATCTACATTTGTTATTTTCACACTGACAGCCGCTAGAGGGCACTTTAGCTGGCTGTTGCGACTTATACTCCGGAGCGACTTGTATCTGTTTGTTTTTTGTGTATTTTATTATTTTTAAAACAACACAACAGAGATATTCAACTAACAAAAGGTTATTCAACCAAAAAATAATAAGTCAGCTGACTCACCCATGTCGCATTGTTGTAACCTCATCATCTCTTTTAGTGTTCTTAACGATTCCTCTTTAGCTTTCAACAATGAGTTCAGTCTGTGAATCCTAGGCACAGGAAAAACACCGGTCACAACATTATCTTTCAGTTCGTGTTTAGGTTTAATAATAATAATTCTGGTTAATGTGTCTTTTAAAGCCTATTAAATGCAGTTAATACTATGAACACACTCTTACTCTTGTTGGTGTTTGTTTGCTGCTGAATTCCACTTGGCCTCCATTTTGAAGACTTTGGCTTGGAGAGCCTTCAGCTCGTCCGCACTGGTTGACGACTCCTGGTGATGTGAACGGGACAAATATCAATATCAGTAAACTGCACTCTATTTGCAAATCAGGCATTCTCATATGTGCAAAAATTAGGCGATTAAATAAGGATGGTTAAACGCACCTCATGATCCTGCTGCTTGTTTTCACGCGTTTGGAGTGTGTTCTTAGCCTAAGGAAAAAAGATCAAATTGAGTTATGATTCATATGAGATAATCCACTGAAAACAGACAATGTCAAAATCCCTTTCTGAATGTGTTTGGAATGGAATCTTTGGTTCATTGAAAAATGTACATGGAAATGCAACAAACCATGCATTTAAACACCATGTCAGAAGGGCTTGAGCTTGGACGTCAGTGACCCCGTACGAAGTTCACCACCTTTGCATCTTTGCACCACTTTCGATTTGTAACATGTTTACCGGTTGCCTAAAATGTACCCATAGTAAATTTGATAAGGATGTACTGTATAAATAGCCTAGCCTCAGAATATATGCAAAAGCTCCAACATTTCTTTTTTTAACATTTCCAGATTAGAGGCGATTGGCTGCCGTTACTGGTTAAAATTAGCGTGTCTGTAATTGTACTAATGACTCAGTAGGGAGTTAAGCAAGTCTGTAACCCCAATTCTGTTACAGTGGTTGCTTGTTAGGAAATGTTGAATTGCATAAGAAAATTGCGTATGAATTTTGAAATATTTGTATGTCGAAAAACTACAGGGGAAAAGGATTAAAAAAAAAAAAAAAACGTACCTGCAAATTTTCTTCAGTTGGATGGAGCTCAGGGTTCTCCTTCTGTAAAGAGACTTCTGGTTGGAGGGGAGCTTTGTTTAAAGCCTGCACCAGAGCAGAACTTTTACTCCTTTCTTCTTTGAGCTCCAAATAAGTTTGAGCCAGTTGCTTCATTTCTTCCGTCGCACAATTTTGTTCTTCGGAGATTTCCTGGAAGTCAGTGGAAAAGAAGACATTAGCAAACAACAAAAAAAAAACCAATAACTGTTTCATTTTTTGCCAGAAGCAGTTAAAAAATAAAAAGTAAACGGTAGACTTCACCTGAAGAGTTTTTCGTTTGCTTTGTGCCGCTGCGGTTCGGCGTTCTTGTTCAGTCTTTAGGAAGCTGTTGATCACATCCCCTTTGGTGGGCTTTCTGTTCAACGCGGTCAGCATCCGCTCGACGAACGTCTCCCTCTGTGCAATCTCTTCTGACATCTCTTTGGGATAGAAGGCAATGGTGGACCAAAGCTTATCTGAAATCCAGGTGATTTTCTAGAAATGAGTCAATGCGTTAATGTTTAGAGCGGGGGGTGTAATTACACATAAAACTAGAAATGAGTCAATGCGTTAATGTTTGCGTTAATGCGGGGGTGTAATTACACATAAAAGCCGCACTTCTCTATAAGCCGCAGGTGTCCACGTTGTACTGTGGGATATTTACAAAGAAAGATTTCTTTTCACTTTTAACGAAATATTTTTTTTTTCGCCCCGAACAGTGCGTGTAACACGTCTGGTTACACGTTAGCTCTTTCCTATTTCGTCGCCCCAACTGTAGTTGGAATGCACAGGGAAGACTTAGTGATCTGCTCCAGGGCTGAAGCTAACATTAGCTTCGGGGCTAACGCCCTTCACTTTGTGCTTGTCAGCAGCAGAGGTAAACAGAAACAGGGAAGTTGGGGTCTTTAGAACATACAGCTCCTGTATAACCAACTGACGCTTCAACATGAAAGGTACCACCAACTTTTGGTGGTACTGTATCCCTTATGATGTACACGTCAGAGGTGTGGACTCGAGTCGCATGACTTGGACTCGAGTCATCAATTTGATGACTTTAGACTCGACTTGACAAAAAGTAAAGAGACTTGCAACTCGACTTGGACTTTAATTTGACTCGACAAGACTCGATACTTTCCCCAAAACCCAAAATGATCTGTGTAAATATATTGTTATTTTGTTTGAAAGGACTAGAAAGGACTCGAAACAGAAACGGCAGGACTTGGTACTTGACACTTTTCAGTCTTGACTTGGACTCGACTCGGACTTTGCCTGTCTTGACTTGAGACTTGACTCGGACTTGAGTGCAAACACTTGAGACTTACTTGTGACTTGCAAAGCAATGACTTGGTCCCACCTCTGGTACACGTATAATGACAGGTTTGAAAAACAAACAAACAAACAAACAACGGGCTTAGAGATCGGTCACATCCTCACCTGTTGGTAGAGCTGTCTCTTGACTAGCAACTCGTTCAGTCTGTCTCTGCACAAGATGTGGAAGTCCTCCTCTCCGAGCGAGACGTTGTCGGCCTGCGATCTGCACAGCAGCACGCGCTGCAGCAGCCTCTCTTCGAAAACGGCCAAGTCAGTGTTCACCAACTCCTCGAAAAGTTTTTTGTAGTCCTGGGCCTGCACCCGTAAATGCACCTACGGTGAAAAAAAAAAGAAAAGCACATTCTTGTTTACAAGTAGTCGAACAATTACAGGTCATTATAATGTAATGAGTGTGTTAACTTTATTTACAAAAATCTTTTCCAGGGTTTCGAAATGTTGGACCCCAGAATGGTAAACGGGGGCGTAGATTTCTCTGGATTCCGATAGAGAGAACTGCATCTCGTCCAGGGACTCTTCCATTATGGGTGTGTTGATGATTTTG